CCCCCCCTTGTTTAAGCGCCTGAGTGTACCTACCTATAAGTTGTACTATGTAATGAATGCATATTGCATAGTATAATAGATATGATACAATGTTATTATTTTATTAACAAACATTTTACTAATTTTAATATTAGATAAGTTAATAATTATACTATATGTAGTTTTAAAGTATATTATTAAAAACAATAAATTATAACTCACATTTTTATTGTTGAAGTTTGTTGAACTTTAATAGTAAACATAATAATATATAGAATATGATCAATAAATCTCAGGTATCTTAGACAAAATTAACAATTACCTATATAATAAAATTTGAATAATAATACGCTCTAAAAAAAAGATTAAAGGAAATTCCTATTTAGGCAAAAATACAATAATATTTTATTTAATTGTTTTGACGTTTTAGTACAATAATTATATAGATGCATAGCCGCATAGGTATCTGTTACATGAACTCAATTAATTGTTACTTCGAGAATAGAATGAGTTTAAATGACACGGTAATACCACAAAATAGATCAAAAAGATTTATTTTTTAAATTATTGAATGCTGTGAATTGTACGTCGCACTTTAGTCTGAAACCGTATAGCTAATTGAGGTTACTAGAAGTTAGGAGTTGAGCGCATGCTGAGAGGGATGTTTTTTATTTGATTGTCAGGTATCACATTATCCCAAAGAAATGAAAAAAAAAAATGATAGAGTAGCTTTTTATAGTCTTCTAATTTTGTTGTATTTTTTATGCAGTCCGAGTACTTAAGTAATTAATTTTGTATGTACCTATATTTATTATTTATTATACTTACACGGTAACACTAGAACGTTTTAAAATATTCCAAATACTTTATGAGATAATATGTTAAGCATATTTGAATATATATTTTTTTATAAATTGTTTTTAAAAAGGTGTTAGTTTTGAAAACATTCAAATAGACTGACAAAAAAATATTTATTCGTTGTAAATTAATTAATGAACCCCTTCTAATACATATGGATGGTAAGATATAAAATTACTTATTAATGTGTAATAGCAATCATCAATGAACAGGGGACACATTTGGTGAGGTACTAAGGTCAGTTGATCTGTGGTTTTTCTATATAAAGGCACCAAGTCATATTATGCTATTTATACTTACATACCCTAAAAAGCAGAACTATTTAAGTGTGAGCTGAGGATAACTATTTAATAGTTCTGCGATGTAAAAACATAGTAAGTGTTTGAAGAAATAGTGTATACATAATACCTGCTCTGTACTAGGAATCTAAATTAAACACTCCATCGTATACAGTTATACAGTGATATACACTCCAAAACATTTCCCAAATATTTCCTATACATACCTATACTTTACTATCCAAAGCTCTTACTTCAATAGTTCAATATTCAAATAATTTTCATAAATTTTCACTTTATTTGAAAACATTAAATAACATAACATCACTCAAATAAAGTTAAGGTACATGTATACTGTATAGTGTATACATTTGTACTCAGTAAACTGAAATACTGAATAATTAAAAACATTGCGAATCATGATAAATTGTTGCAATCATCTATAGTAATTTTTGTTTGGTTTAAATCATTTACAACTAAATTTATGAGATAGCACCACGCAAATAAACACAAATTACAATATCAGCAATTTATAATCATTAAATTGTGTATTAGGTATATAAATAGACACCTATAAATTTAGATTATTATTTATTTTCTAACCTACACGAAAGTTTTTTTAAATCCATACAATTTTACAATAGTCAATAACCAGCATATCACTCACAAAATGTACAAATAGATGAATGAATGCATTTAAGGTATTTTCTACGTAAGAAAAATTATTTCCAGAAGCTCATCGAAATAAACGAAAATTTTTCAGCAAACATCTTTTCCGCAGTGTTTTTGTTGAGACTTCTAAAAAAAATTTTATTAGTTCATAAGTCAATAGTTTAGCAGAAATTACAGATTTTACCATCTATTATAGGTAACTATAGTCTATAAGGTATACTCATTATTTAGATGACGTAGTATTACTATAATATTTATTGCGCACCAATGTATTTTACTCATCGATGTAATGATGATAATAATAATCTATACCCGAATACGGAACAATCGACCCCCAAACAGTGAACACACTATCAAAGATTGTGCAGATTTTGCTAGCGAGAATAAACACGAAATAATATCATGTCATCGTTTATCATCACACACAACTATAATTGTTGTGGTACTTCTAATTTCATTCGAATAAATAAAATATTGTGAGGGTCACTTGTATCTAAACCGTCCAATTGAACGTCTAATTTTTTGGGAGAGAAGAACTTTCGGCTCGTCTGTACGAGTCGTGGGGTCGTGCAAAATCACGCCCAGACGGGGTGACGGTGCAGTAGAAAGGGGAGGAGATGGTGGTCGGGTTTTCGGCGGTTTGAGTGTGTGCGGGTGGCATAATGTCGTCGCAGTACACGTCGTATTGGACTGTATTATTAAATACCTATATATATATTATTGTGACGTGCGTAGTCGAACAGTCCGACTGCAGAACAAATCAGCAGTCTGAGGCAGTGGCGGCGGCGATTGCTGCTGCAGCGGTCGAAAAAGGGACCCGCCACCGCTCTGAGAGTTTCGAGCGGCGGCGGTGGCGATTGTGGTTGCGAAACAGGCCGCGTTCGCGTACATTATACCTATATATTTTTATCATATATTATGTTATACGAAATACGCACACGTCGGCATCGGTTTCACGGACCGTTTGTGCCGGTTTATCGGTCTCCTGGCTGTCTGGCAGCCACCGACTGCACACGACACACACACGCACACGCACACACACACACACACAACACGTGTGTATATGTTATACATCATATAATATATCATACCCTATATGAGCACACACACACACACAACACGTGTGTATATGTTATACATCATATAATATATCATACCCTATATGTGTTTATTACGATAATAACATGACCCACAACACGCACGTACGTGCGCGCGTCATATAGTATTAAAATATGTTGTTATGCGAATGCGGACGCGAGTATATGGGAGGCGAAACGGGAAAATATTATCCTCTATTATAAGCAGCAGCGATGTTGACGGGGCGGCGAGTGAGATGGGGGAGGGTTGGTGGGCGAAGGGGGCGGCGAAAATAAAACGAAATCGACGGAAATATAATATTTATATGTATCGCATTATTGTTATAACATGTGTATTGTGTGTGTGTGTGTGTGTGTGTGTGTGTGTGTGTGTGTGTGTGTGTGGGCGCGCGCGCACGCGTGTGCTGTATTACCTCCCGACCGATGTAACTGTATATATGTATACAGGTGTAAAAATAAACTCGGGGGCGGTACGGCGGCGGCGTTCTCGTAAAAGCTGTTTTTTTCATCGTCGCACCGCAGACAATAAAATTTTTTTTAAAAAAAACCATTGAGAACTTTGTTTACGACTTTACGAATCATAACGTGCACAGTAGGTTTCACAAAGATAATGTTAAAAATATGTTCTATGCTATATACTGCAGGTATCTACAATGTCCATAATATATCAAAATGGGTCCATTATATGATATAAACCTAATATTATGTATTAATGTATTATGTATAGTCAATAAAACGTCAAACAATAAATTGTAAAATATACCATATGAATGAAGTATATAGGTACGTCACGTATGCATAATGCAACACGCGTATGTGTAAATTAACTATTTTTATTTTTAACTATGTAATATGTACGTAACGTTTACTTTTTAATTAAAAACGAATATTCTTTTTTCTATATTTTTATTATTTTTTTTTTTTCTTAAGCGATATACGAAATATCGAATTATATTCTTCTTTTATTGCTGACTATTTGATACAAAACTTTATCGTTTTTAAATTTAAAAGTGTCCTATACGACGTAGGTTAGGCTAGGACGCTAGGTGTAGGTACAATCTAACCTAACCTTACCAAATGGGTATTCTATATTGAAAATAAAAACGTGATTTGTGATTAAGATCACCCTCCGTGATGACTTGATGAACATTTTGATAACACATGTTGGATACAGTTTCTAGTAAATTGTCGTTAAAAATAAATTAATATAAGCCTGCCAATACAGATACTAATCATAAGGTATATGTACATATTGGGTATCAATGGTATCATTTTTCCGGTGATTTTTAACTGTGATATTTTCACAGATATATATAATAACTAGATACCCGACTCCATATACCACAACGTTATTAAATTATGATGCCCGACGCCATTTGTGACTATGGCAATGTTTACAAATTCTTATCATTTTTTAATCGTTTTGATATCATTCATCGTGATACAAATATTTCATAATATAATTATATTTTCATAAACTTAATATTATTACAAGTTTCTTATACAGTTATACATAATTGTACCATAATTGATGGATGAACCAGTTAAGTTCAACTCATTTTACATTGTACGATTTACTGTAAGCCTAAAAATATAAGTTTAAATCGAAGAATCAGTGAATATGAATTAATGGACTTTACTGTAAGCTGCCCATTTCAAAATTTGGTTCAATTGATTTTGACCCTCAACTTCACTCTTTATGATCATAGAAATATGTCATCAATCAATTCTTTTATTGCCTTACTGTACCTACGGCCAGTAGCTTTACGCCCTTTGTTCTTAATCAGGTTTTTGAACAACTCCAAATTGGTACCTTCAAATTTCTCCAATAATATTTGTTCTGTATCGTTTTCCAGCAAATTTTTTTTTCTAAAATCTTTTAGTAGATCCTTTAAATTAGTTAATGAAGTATTTTGCCTCCTAATCTTTTGTTGTAACCGTTTTATTTTGAGCTTTAGTTCAAATTTTGATGGTGAATGTTTTTTATGTTTTGGACTAGCTACAAATAATGGACGTGAACAGGTTGCTCTTGATGGTGTTATTAATAATGGCTCAAAACTGGTATTAATAACAGACCTTTCAGGTGTAATCATTATTGGTAAATCTGGATTATTACTAGATGTTACGATAGTACTTGGGGTCAAATTAGTTGTATTTAAGAGTGGGATCAAATCTGGTGAAATAGGTTCAATGCCTTCTAAATTGAAATAAAATAATAAAATTTATAATTAAAAAATTAGAACAATTCTTGGTATTATATATTCATTTAATTTACCTAGTTCCGGTATTTTTAATTGAGACACATGTTTGGAATATGATGGAAAAATTGAAGGCACAGCGTTTGAGTTAAGCTTCAACTTGTAGCTACCACCAACAGTTTGTTAAAAATCAGTTTGAACAAAATGATCACTGCACACCTTGCTATATTTAGAAGGGATAAATTCTTTTCGACCTACTGCCTTTATCCATAACTCATTTTTTTCTGCATCTTTAAGTGGAAATCTATTGAAAATACAAATTAAAAAAGCAAAAACATATAATATCTAATAATAATAAATTAGTTTTATAGTAGGTACATAACGTTAGTATATAAAATATTGATCCTTAGTTTAAGACAATTTTAAAAATGTTAATTGTAATGGGTTAATATTATAATACTTACGAGAAAAAGTGTATTTTTCTAACTCCATTTGTTGAATGTCGATTCGTGCAAAAATGTACACAACATGACATCACCATCTTAAATTAATAATTATTCAAAAACCTACAATAATCGTCGAAAAAGGGTCAGTACCACAGTAAAGTTGTAGTCACTAGTCAGTAAGTTGGGCAACAGGCTTGTTTGATATGAACTATTGTTATCATTGTAAACATTGCCATAGTTGTAAATGGCTGCCAGCGTCATTGATAAGAAGAAGTCGGGTATCTAGTTATTATATATATCTGTGGATATTTTGCATTGCTAAGCAACTGTATAGTGTATATGATTGTACGAACACCATAATACATTTGATAAACACATCACAATGCGTTGTACTATCGTAATGTCTCTGTATGTGTACTTATGGATTAGGTAGGTACATCTTCGGACAATAAATTGCGGGCTCGTGGGTTCCGGCTTCATAATATTACTAATTTATTGCTAAATCAAAAGGATTTCATAATGTCCGAATCGTCGAATTTGAATGAGTCCTTTCAGTTGTTCTTTCCTTCAGATTATTCCTCTGCAATAGAAATTGAACAATTGAGCATCCATAGTGAAAGGAACTTATCGTTATCTGCGGAAACTATCAATTCCAAATCGACCGAACAGCTGTCACTGAAAAACGTAACAAACGTCGTTAAAAGTAACAAAACGGTTAAAGATTGCGAATCGTTTGCAAAAAAGCTTGAATATCCACTGACAAAATGGTCTAAACGAGAGATGGCTGCAAAGATTCGTGCGGAACGTGATAGAAAATTTGAAAGTATTAAAAAGATTAACGAGAAAATTACGCGTGGCGCCGAATTCCTCAAAGTACATATGACGATTGCAAAGCTTTGCGATTTGATATAATATATTATAAACATTTATTTATTTTCAGAACACTTCTGGAAAAACACAAGCTGATAAATTAGAAGACCTTAAAAAATTAAACAACGGCCAATTGTACCATGACAGAAGTTCTATTAAGTATGCCCTTGTGTTGTTTTTAGCGTATTCAACGCATATCTACGAGGTTACTACATACATTTTTATCCGTAATATTCACTTTAGTAGTGATGACATGCAAAGTACATCACTTAACACCAGAATAGAAGCACTTGAATTAAATTTAAGAAAAATCCAAGATGAGTTGATAGTAGAAAAAAATAGGCTTAGTGATGACGTGGAAGAACATTTGAATGTAGTCGAAGATCAATATTTCAATAACGAATCTGATGAAAAATCTATTTATACGAATATCGAAACCATCAACGAACAGGTCGAAAAAGATCGTTCAGATAAAGTGAGACAATAATATTAATAGAAAACATTATAAAATATATAAATAGAAAACACAATAATATATGATCCATAAATTATTTTTAATAGTTGTTTAGTTATTTTTTTATCAACAATGTTATTACCTACATAATATATATATTTAGACGGAATCCGCGTTAGATGACGTCACAAAAAGAATGGATGACTGTTCCTTGAACGAGCTTGTTTTTGAGACGGTTTCAAATTTGGAGACTAGATTAACATTCAATCCAAATCCTATCGAGTTTAAAGTAAGTTATCATTTATCAATATTAAATACCATGAACGGCATAAATTTAATATTTTTAATAATATAGAAACGTATTTTTTTGGGGTGACTTTATAATTATTTAAGGTGATGAAGAGGTATTCAAATGAAATAATTGATAGTAGTATTTTGGAACAACAGATTAAAGTTACCAACCGTAGTAAAACCACTGTATCGTGTAAGTTTAGCCATTTGTCCGATCCAAACTGGGTACTTCAAGACAACATGAATACCATAAAAGTATCTATAATATAACGTTCTGTTTAGTTGAATGGCTAAAATTAAATTGATCTATCGCCGGTTAGGTAATACCAGTCACCTGGTGTCGTGTGCAGCCAGCTACAACGATCGTTTACTCAGTGACATTTAAACCGATGGTATTACCCAATTTCAGGACCTATCAGAGTTTATATGGAGTAAAACTAGTGTTTGAAACTGTGACAAATAACCAACCAGATTTAAAATACGTGTTGAGTATTCCAGTCAAGTTTTGTATTATTAAACCTGAACCGGAGCTGGTTACCAAAACAATAACGTACGAATATATTATATTTCAATTATACTCACGTCGATGACGATACCTCATAATACTAATATTCAAATTACTAACCTGCACGTGCTCTCAGAACATCCAAAATTGTTTCAGTTTCCCGGCTGTACGCGATTCATGCGAAAATTATATTTCCAAACAATATTTAATCATGAAAAATAATGGTGATGCCGACTGTGTTTTTAGCGTACTTACAGAGACCGAGTTTCAAAAAAAACGAAACATCAGTGAATATACCAATGATGATGATAATAATAATAATTTATTAAAACAATTCTTTGCTATAATCAATATTAACGTCATTAAAATTTAAGAATTTGAATAACAATATTAGTTAAAACTAACTATTGAAAAAAAAAACAGTTGATAATCGTTGGACACATAATACTTAAGACTACCTACAAAATATAGATATTGATTATAATTTATTTGCCCTCTAAATAATTTCATTAGCATATAGGTACAAGTTGAAGACTTGTATAATATCTGAATCATTTAGGACTTTAATTTTTTTTCCAGGTTTCTTCTTAGGTTATGACTTAAATGAAACGGAAATGGACGATAACGATGTAATACCCGGTACTATTATTAAGTATGTTATTCGTCAGATGTTCAGTAACTTTATGTGGAGACATCATGTTAACGTGCTATTACCAGCCAAAAGATCTGTAAAAGTTCCAGTTATATTCAACCGAAACTTTGCCCAATCGTCGGTCACCGAGTATTTCATAATCGTATTTGATAATACCGAGTATTCGATTCCAAATCAGGTAGGTATATAAATCATTAAATCGAATAAATATCGACAAATGTTTGGTTGATCGTAATCTCGACGTTATCGCGTACCAGCCACCACATTTTACCACATTTTTCCTCTCTGATTTTTTTACCTTCCCTACCACCTCTCTCCTTATTACACAGTATCTATTTAAAAAATAATACGTTAAACAATTCGTATTGTCTCTGTCTGTATTGGTTAACAAGTTTTAATAGCGTTTAAAGTTTTCAATAAATCATTAGACGTGTTGTCGTGTTATCTCAAATTGTTGGGTGACAAATATTTAAAAAATAAAATCTTGAAGCTTAATAATATTACGATGTACGATTGCTAATATCATTCGTGGTAGGTACTTCTGATATACATCCAGCGGGACAATTAAAAGCCATAATATTTAAAAATAAAATTGAAAAGGCCAGTTCAGTGCCACTGACTTTTCTTGGAGGGCCAGGTGACGTGCCTGCCGCGTACATTGTATAGATATGAGGTACCTATGACGGCATCACATGAAATTACAGTTCTTATTTTCGTTCTAGAGGGTGAACGTTATCGGTCAGGTCATAGATCAACAAATTCTCGTAGATCCCAGCGTGATCGATCTCGGTCTGTGCTACTTAACGAGTTCCGTACAGACGGGCAGCTTTAAATTACGCAACACCAGCAGGGTGGTAGTGCCGTACGAAATCAAACTACCCCGGGAACTGTCCAAACATGCAGGGCTCAGCCATTCGAAGGGATACCTCAAAGCTGGATCTTCGATGGAAATTTTCATTCGTCTGTGTTTGAAGTGCCTACATATATACTAAACGAATCATTATTATAAACACAATACGCGTGTCGTTATCTATAACGTCGGCGATTACAATCATATTTTTAAGGTACGACATGTTGCGTCCGGACGAATGCAAAACGTATTTCGACGCAAAAAGTGGTGTCCTGGATTTCCCAGTACGAGTTTATCCGTCAAACTGTAAGAAATTCCACGAGATACGCGTCTTGGCGGTGGTGACCACGTCGTTTGGTCTGAAACTAAGCCCCGATACATTGGATTTTGGTACAGTTAACACGACGGAAACCGTCGTTCGGAGTGTCATGTTGGCCAACCATTCGAGAACCAAAATGGAATACGGATTCATGAAACTACCAGAAGTAATACGACGATGTTATAACGAACAAAAAATAACGATAAAAGTAGCAAAAAAACATTCAATTCGTTTAAAAATTTTTTTAGAGAATTTCTGTACGTCCTAGTGCATTCGGTACTATATTTTCTGGAGAGAAAATTTGTCTGCACTTACATTATAGCCCTGGAACAAGCATCTTGCAGCAGAACGTCCATACTTACAATGACGATTTCGTATTGATATGCGATACAGTTACCGGTGCCAACGCAGATATATGTCCCTTTCAAAACGATGCAACCTCACAAGTAAGACGATTGAGCTCAACATAATATTATTATATATGTAAAATATATTTAATGTAATTTAAAATTAAATAGTTAAAAATCAGACATTATATTAATGATTCTGTGAGTGTTATTTTGATTTTATAACTAATAAGTATTTGATAGTTTATGTTTGTCAACAATACGTAGCTAAGTACCTATATTCAGTAATTAGTGAATTCAGAATTAGCTACCTAAATTATATGTTACTTAACTATATCCTTCCGTGTTAATAACTTTTCAATCGGTCTTAAAAGTTGAAATTTGTCGTGAAAGAGTAAATACGAGTTTCTTTTTAGATTTATGAAACAATAAATGAAGAAAATATGTCGAATACAATTATAAATAAAAATCCAGCAGTCAGCGAAAACGAGATAAAAGAATTAAATCATGGACCTGATCAGTAAATAATTTTACATGTGTTTTGATTTTTAAGATATTTATCTACTTAAATTGATACGAAATAGGATAGATGTTTCGGTATTAAAACACGAAGTAGAAATAAGTTCATTTGAGAAAAATGCTATCTTAAGACAGGCCACTGTAAGATGCCTTGCACAAATTCATGATGTACCAGTAGAACTTTCCATACAAAAAATCATATTCGGAAAAACTCATTTCACGTCTTACTCGATTTTTAAGATTGATTTGAGGTAAGTAATTGTATATAGTATGTATGTACATTGTACACAATATGTCTATGTACCACGATCGTAAAATTTATTTTAAGATTGCAATTTATAATTTATAATCATAATAAAATTTAAGAGCATCGAATTTGGCATCTATAACCGAACGTAACATTAACTCATTTCCGGATTTCAAAATTAGATTTGAATTTGTCTCGAATGATTCTACAGTAGAGTTTAAACCAAGGAATGGATTACTACATTCAAAAGAAGTTGATAAATTTAAATACATTTGTTTTTTGGATTAGTTATGATTATTATTTTATATTTAGATCATGACTATCAGTGTCATATTTAGACCACAGCTTGATAGTGAGATGCAAAGTATTTATGAAGAGAGCCTCAATTCTGAAGTAATAAAAATCAAGGTCGATAAAATTTTAAAGGATAAGAATTCTTTCATAAATCAAGTCAGTACAAATAATTGGATTTAATTGTTCTTAAATACCTAAGTATTATGTATACTTTCACAGTACACATTTAATAATTGGTACATTCAACAGGTTTACACTGACAAACCATTTCTTCATGAGAAAATCAAAGTATTTGAAGCCAATAAAATATTTTATTCATTAATGTATGATACAACAAAAATCGTTTCTGCTGCTTGCTTTGTACAGTTCGTTAATCAAAAATCAAAAGAATATTTTGGGTATTGTATTAGTTGAAGTAATATCTAAATTAAAATAACTCATAATTATTTATTAACACCCACAACTATAATAATATTTTATTATTATTAAAATGTTGGCGTATTATAATATAACTATATATTGTATAGTAACATCATATTTTCTAAATTAAAAACTAATACACGTTAAGGTTAGGAAACAAGTAATTTAAAAGATAATAATATAACAGATAGGTACTAATTATATTAATTATACTATTTATTATTGAGTTCAATCATATTACATTTTAACAAAATTAAAATGTCAAAAATTCATTACAATTTATTTATGATCATTTATTTTTGAGTATGGTTAATATTATAATGGTCGATAAAAATAATAATTTCCTAGATAATTTGATGTTTTTTATATCGATGATGTAGAGCTATGTAATATTATGTAACTACATTTTTACAAAAATATCAAATTTGTCTAAGTATTTTAAATTTTTTTAAATGTCATAATGAAAAGCAGAATATTTTTTCTAAAATGTTAATGTACTCACATTGGATATTGAACAAATAGTACTTGGTAACGATAAGTAGCATTTTAAATTTAGATAAGCGGAGTAGTATACCATACGTTTTTTCTGGGTATCTCACCTTGCCATTTTACTATTTTCATATAAAACATATAAACAATACAATTTTTCATTGAAATAAAAATATTGTAGAGTCATAGTAAGTTACCTACTAATTACTGACTATTCAAATTATATAAAAATAATTATTTTAAAATATAACAATTGAATAAGAAAATTACTGTTTACTAATCATGATGCGTAGTGCCTGCGCCCTGCAGTGCCAAGTGGATCGATTTCCCAGGGTTATGGCTTGTATTAAGTATTACTATCAACTGCAATAATAATATGGGACGGATTATTATACGTGTCTCAAGTAGGTAGTCACTGTTGTGCAACACGGAATTAATAAAGTCTAAAATAAATAACGATTTATTAAAATGCACTTACTATTGTCCAAAAATTCGTTGGTTCCTAGTTTGTCATGCCGAATCGTTGTACCCGCGATTGCAGGCAATACGCATGTACATGGGAAACACGAAGTAATATTAATATTATTACATTCGTCGCTGTCCTATATTATGTTATAATATAGATTCTGCACTGAATCGTTGAAGCTGAGTCTCGTGTGTCCGACAACGAAGCCGAACATCATCTTGTTTAGCGATCGAATAGATTTCGGTGAACGGACCATAGACGTCCGTCACAACGAATGGCTGTTCGTACGGAACGTGACAACGCGCCCTGTGCCGTTGAAGGTTTCGCCGCCTAGCCCAGTCGGACCTTTTTTCTGCGCATTTGTAATCATAAATTAATATTATATTAGCCATTACCTATGTCCGAGTGTCATATTGTTGCATGCCATGCAATTGATGGACGGAAGGTAATTTATTTATCATATTATCTCATATCATCATTCATAGGCTTTGAACGGAGAACAGTTATTATATCCCGACCGCACGTTGCCAATCAACATTTCATTCATACCCGAACACGAGTTGGAGGTGAGTACTGAGTGACTTCAATGCCACACTGTATGATAATAATATTATGTTAGAGGAAATACTTTGCGTAGAATTCGCATTGCATAATAATATTTGTAATATCTATAGAGGCTAGAATAGTTAGGCATTTTTGAATATCGGGTAATTATACAATTAATAAAATACATTTTTAATACTTATTGCCACCAACATATTATAATAAACAGCTGTGAATACGAAACATTAAGATATGTCATATTCAATTTTCAAAAGTAAAATCTTCAGACATTCTTGAAACTCCATGCGTACCTACATAATAGTATTATACGCTGAACCACATATGCTCACGACTAGCACGACCTGAAAATCAGTGACAACATTTATCAATTTTTACGTGTACCTACAACATACTTTTGTATCCTCGAAAAGGTAAAGGAAATGTTGGAGGTGAGTTCCGAAACGATGCGGTTACAGGTCATGGTATCCGGTAGCGGTCTCGGCCCATCGTGCACAATCACACCAAATGACATGTTCAACGTAATACAATCTACGCGCAAACACGCAAACAAAGCACTTATTTTTCGGGTAATAATTATTATTGGTTTGCATGCATAACTATTTTACATTGTTTTCGTCGATTATCTGTGGGAACATTCATTAAAAATATTATATAAGTGTCAGTTTTTTATTTTATTAAAGAAGGAAGCCTCAATGACTTGACCATTGGCTTGTTTTATATATAGGTACTTAAATAATTTAGACTAAATTGTACAATTTAATATTTTTCATAAATAATAATATTTTTTGGATTGATTCTTCGTCGGGGCCCAGTCAGGCGCGGATCCAAGGGGGGGGGCAAGGGGCCATGGAATCCTTAAATGGACTTGCATTACTTGCATTTTTATCAGACTTATAGGCTGAAATTTTATTTAAGATGGCCCCCCTCCCCCCGTAAATACGTTTTAGATCCGCGCCTGGGCCCAGTGCGTCGGAAGGTGATCAGGTATGTTGCATTTTTGTCGGACCTCTTGAGTAAGAATAGTTGTATATCATAATGTGGGTACATTTTATTTTTTTTTATTACATTTTTCAAATTTTCTAGGAATTAATTGTTTTATTTTTTTTTATTAATAATTTGTTAACTATTTCATATTAAATTAATAAACCACACCACGGCACCAAAACAAAACAATACACGAAGTATAGTTACTACTTACTTATATTTGGTCCCGCGTTTGGGCCAATAAGGTGGGGGTAGCATTTATCCTGCTCCGTCTTCCTAGAAATTTGGTTTCCTATAGTTGAGGACTGAGAAAAAAACGTGAGACCAAATAGAACAAACGGCGATAACGTAATACAATCGAACGAAAAAACTATTTGAAAATTCCAACATTGTGAGGCTGGGCAAATAGATCTCAATGACATTATGCAATTACTTGTTTCCACGTGTGCATACATTTATCACAATGGTTATAACTTATAATGACCAGTACTTTGTGATTATGATAAATATAACAAATTTTTTTTTTTTTGGTGTGGGGGAATTTCTTTAAATGTACGAAAAATTTCATCTCCCTTCAAAAACATTACCAAATGATGTGAAAAATTGAACATATTACAACTACACTATAATAGATATGGAAAAAAAGTCAATATATACATTATACATGCTATAAATTGATTTGGGCTGTCTAGAATATTATTATTTGGGATCTATTCTTATAAATTCAAATGAATTCAAAATGTTCAACCAATACTTTTATAATATATTTATATACGTATAGGTGACAAACACCAGTGGGACGAAAGTTCGGTTCAACGTGCAAATGGAATGGACGAGGGAGAGGTCAGAGCCAATGGTCGACAGTGCGGTGTTCGAGTTCATAGAAACGCTCCGAACGGCGGAGCTGTCGGACCCGGAGCAGCGTGCGGCGATGGAATCGCGTTTTGAAGGAGCCGATTGGGCCGAGGAATCCGCAGACGCTGGTGAAGGTGCGTTTGACCTGGGAAACGGCGGAAGGCCACTGTGGTTTCGTTTGGACCCGAATGGGTCGCGGTACGTTCAGGTTACTTTGATGCTTCCTCGGTACAACCGACAACTAGACGAAGACAAAGACGGTGTCAGCGACGAGGAGTCGTTGGAGTCCCCGGACGGAAGCGAAGAGGAGGCGTTTAAATCACCTGACGATGGTTTCGGGACGAAGTTGGCCGAACCGGGCAGAGAGCATAATCGCAACAACGATGATCGAACAGCCACCGACAAGCGTCGCGTCTTCGCAGCAAAGTTCAACGTGCACGTAGGCCATTTGGTGCTCCAACAGTTCTACGTGTTTGGTTTCGTAGACGTGGATAAATCTGCGGACTCCTAGGGTCATCTATTGCGATTATTGTTATTTTTTTGTTGGTGTCTTATAGTATTATACAATATTCATACGCGATGTATTGTGTCACAGAGCTTATTGAGTATACAGAGGCAGTATAATATGGCCCATCCCGGATATGTCAAACTGGGCGAAAAGTATTAACGGGGCCAAATATATTGAATACATAGTTTACTATATGCGGGCCGCACATTCAAAAAAAAACATTTGATGTACATTTTTAATTGTATTTGCCATTACTAACAATACTTTATACCTATCAGAAAATAAGACAGAAAAGTAAATAATGACGTAAACCTCTCACATCTTGACATGCCTGCTCTAACCACTATAAGTGGAATTGATTATAATTCGAGGTAGGTACCTGCAAGCTTCTACGTCGTATTTGAGACCTAACGTCAACTGACTGAAACAAAGTTCTATAAATGTTATATGACATCAAATAATAGTATACTTGTTTTAAGTACCTACTTAAATTATAGTTTTTAGGCAAAACGTTTTAGAAGGAAGTTATAAAAAACAACAAATTTGATGAAAATAAAATCAAATTTAAAACCTTTTTATAAATTATTGTATATGTTGTTTTTCAATTATCAGTAATAAAATGGTAATGTTTAAAACATTAATACCTGTTATATAATATAGAAGGGAGTATAAATGTAGAATTACATATTTACAGCTAACAGCTGGTGATTAGGTTATTTTGATGATAATTTACCTTATTACAGTACTACTTATACACATTATACTGCTGTGTCTTTAAAAATATGTGTCGCATAAGTTATTTTCTGCTCTTAGGAACAAATCGTCTCCGTTAATTTGCTGGTTATGTTGCACAGCATTCGAAAGACCCTGTATTTCTTAATAATTCTGCTCATATACTTAGTAAGTGAACGACTTAATATTCATCAGTCATCGCTGTAAAATACTAAAATGGGAACGAATGTATTAAATAGCTGATAATATTATGATCGCGAAAAAAAATAATAATTTAATGTGTCATGTATGTCAACAAAGTATTGTAAGAATATTCTTATATCCGTAATTTGATGAGTGATAAAATGGTTTATTTTTATGATATTTAAACTTTAAAGAGGGAGACAGTGAGTACAATTCAAATCAAACCATTCGTCCGTATCATTAGATGTTCATGCAAATTGAATTCGACTTGAAAAAAAAATACAAAAACTACTAAATTCAAAATAAACGTGGACATAATTATAAAACTACCTATTTAATTAAAAACATTGGAAAAATTAATTACAATTTACAGCCCACAAAAGAAAAAGAAATAAAATTTTAAGGCAATACTACGGTTTTTTTTAAACTTAATAATAATTGAAAATAGATGAAAAGAAAGGGAACCAAACTAATCTAGTTTTCAAATAAATTAATGGATTTATTTTAAAAATGTACATTTAATTGATTTGCATAATGTAAAATGTAACCTATTTACGTACCTATTCATTCTTAAAAATCGTTGTTAGTTTATTAGAGGTAGATTTCATTGTAAAGTGTATTTTTTTTGTGGGGGGGGGGGCTCTAGAACAATGTCAATTCTAAGTGCATAATTCGAAGCAAGTAACAGATATTTCAAAACTGCAACTTTTATTTTGTATTTTTAAGTAATTTTAGTAATTTTTATAAATGTATACATTTTTTTGAGTTTTTACTGTATTAACATTCAGTAGGTAATTCTGCAACGTATTATTTCAAGAAATTGTATATGCTAGATTTGATGCAGTGCAGTGCTCATCAACAAGTATAGGTACAATAGTGAATATAGAATTAAAAATTATCTTTATTTTAAATCGTTATATATGTTTAGAATCAATAATACAGTCTAAAGATTATATTATTAACTAATAAAAACCATACCAGATTTGTTTTTGGTAATTTCCAATTTTTGATTTTAGAATTTTTTCTTTATGTATTAAATACAATGTACTTAATTAAGGTTTTGTTATAAGATCAAAATTAAATATATTTAGGTCAATTTTTAAGTGCATTTCTATGTACAGTATTTTAGTGCAGTTTTGGTTACTTTTTAGTATTTTCTGATGGTTATAGTTACGACATTTAAATCAAAACCCTAGTTATACATTTTCAGTATCCTAATCAACAAAATTATTTTATTTACTGTTTATAACTCATTATTACCTACTAATATCTAATTCTAAATAATATAATGATAAAATAAATAATATAATCATTTATCTGTGATTAATCGTCTCGCCTGAAATTGAATGCATTAAGTATTTTATTTCTCTTGAGTGTATACGGGTTTGCCTATACATAAAGTCTTGTACAATCGACATCAAATTAATTGAAGAGTACCTAATATTTTAAATAATAACTGTAAGAAAACCAAAAGTATGTATTGAGTTGTTATAAGTTATAAGTTATAACTAATATGGTGGATAAATCTTAGTAAAAACCCGTAGATATAAATATCAAAAAATACTTAAAATCTCCACATAGATACCTCCCACCACCACCTACGTCATTCAACAACCATTGTCAAATGAAACCACTCAAACGTTTTAGGCCAAAATCCCTCAAAAATCTAAGCATTTTTTACTGATTCTAAAGGTAACGTGAGACACACAAGGGGGAAAGTGGGCAATCACTGGAGACTGTACAGTCATAAAAAAACTAAAAAGAAAAATAGACAATTTCAAATAACTATAGATAGCTTAAAAAGTTTTAAACAATTTACAGTACCGTGTATTGAAAAATGAAAATGCTAATATATACATTTGAAACAATTTCGAGTGACCGCCTATCTACGATTCTTCGTTTTTGAATTATAACAGTACAAGAACATTTTCGATTTTATCAAAAATTTCTATTCTGTCCAAAAGTTTTTGCTTTTCCCGATCATTATGAAAAATACCAACTGGGCATTTTTTTGCTTTTTAACCCCCGATTTTTCAATTCATTTCACTTTTATATCAGAAATGATATAGTTACCTATTGAAGTTAAAAATTGAAGTATTTGTTCTAATATAAAAAGTTTTTCAGTTGCAAAAGAAAACACATTGCTGTGGAATCTGCAGGACTTTTTTTTTCGAGAAATGGATACTTTTAACTTTTGAATTATAATATACGCTACGACCACGGAAAAGTGACAGCAGAATTCATATAAGTAAAGTAAACTGTAGAATACTAAAAAAAAATATATTGTAGATATCTAATAACAGAAATAAATTAATAACTGTATTATGACGCATTGTTGTATTATTATTATGAATTATGACTTTATGAGAAAATTGTTTAATATAAGATTATTCATGTAAACATACATAGACTATACTAATTTTATAGGTAATTTATAATATATCACAGATCAATTTAATTCAATTAAATGCCAGTTATTACTACTTATTAGTTAGCTGTAGCCACTCGCTTGACGCCTTTGGTGACATTGTAGAATTGTCAAGAGTAATGAGTAATGACTATTACCTTATCATCACCATGGCTATTGATAACCAAAACGACGATGTAGGTAGATAATATTTTTGGAAACATCGTGTTTTTGTGCTGTTTTTTGGAATTTTCTTTTTAAGAAATGTTGGTATTTTTATGCTCAACATGTCGGCGGAATCAGAATTTACTTATCTTACTTACTTTTTTTTATTGTTTATAAGCCACGTACAACCTACAATTAAGTTTTAAGTGGTGTATTTACAGTAAAAAAAGAAGTAAGTAAGATAAGTAAATTCTGATTTCACTAACGAGTTGAGTATAAAAATACCAATATTTCAAAAATAAAATTTAAAAAAATTGCTTGGGAAGTAAACTACATTTGCTCGGTCGCTCGACGCTCCTAAAGTTTAAATGAGTATACCTCTACAGTCTACACAGTATTTTTTTAAAAATCGGCCTTAGCGCTTTTGCGCACCATCCTTGATCCTTCCCTAAATGCCGAAAACTCACTTTTCGACACCGAGTGACTATAAACTATAAAGTATTATCTACATCTGTATCATGGTCACCACTTACCACTCACCTGTCGCTAACCGTTTCTTATCGTTATCACAGTTTCTTATCAGTTATCGACTATTGTCATTATTTAGTCTTGTTTTTATTTCTTATTTAATTACATTTCTAGTTTCTATTTTTTAGTGTAATATACAACTGTTAGTAGTTATATAGTTAGTTGTTTAAGTATTTCGATTTATTGCATCGCACATATTTTATTTAATTTCGGTACAAATTATTATTATATACATAACTTAATTAGGAGTTAAATCACTGTTCAATATGACGTTCGGGCTATTGCGTTACAGCTTGTGTACAAAATTTAAGTTACCTATTCATTACCAACACAGTTTTATAGTGAATATCCCTCGTCATAGGACACGAAAGTCTTTATTTAATGAAACTGTACGATGGATGAGTACCAAAAGTACATCAAAAGAAACAAAAAAATTATTTTCAGAGTCCAAGGTTCTAAGATTGTATTCGCTTGCAAAGCCTGAAAAAAATAGGCTCATATGCAAGTTAAATATAGTGGCCGGCAATTGATTTCTTTTATTGATTATTGTTAAATTTGTTTTTAGGTGCTGTATGTTTTTTATTAGTATCTAGTGCAGTAACGATGGCGATTCCGTTTTCCTTTGGACGTATTGTTGATATAATTTATAAGTCTGACATTACGGAAGCACAATCTAAATTGGTTACAATATGTACTATACTGCTACCTGTATTCTTAATCGGAGCTGCATGCAATTTTGGACGCATATATTTAATTAACACATCTGGTAACTATTGAATAATTTGCTTCTTTACATCTTTTTTAATAAACTATAATACTACAGCTTAAATATTTATTAAGAGGATGCTATACCCGCATGTGTTGTCTCCGTCTTACAAAAGCGTAAAATATTAAATTTTACTTTCAGCAGATCACGTTTAGCTCAGTTAGCTTAAAAATTAGAGTGAATTGACCTCTAATTAAAATTAAAGGTAAGATTATTGCGGAGGGCTTCTCATAGGCTTTTTATTTATATTTTAATTTTAAAGAGAGTTACGAGTATTTTAAGTTGTACAAACAATTTACAATTCTTAACTTCTCATTTGTTACGCTCTTGTAAGGCAGAGACAACACATGCAGGTATAGTGTCCTCTTAATATTTAATTTTCCAGCATTACACACAAAACATTTATTAATATTCTTTAAATTTAAAGTGGATAATTATTTACATTTTATATTATTAGCTGTAATAATATTAAGTTCTAATAAAATCTCTGAATCTCCATTGATAATATACTTTTTTTTTCTTACATTTCACTTCCTTACATTGAACTTATTATTTAATCAAGCACCTAATTACTAGATAATATTCTACTGACACTTTCCAGTTTCCCACCCAAGTGCATTGTTAAGTTTTATTTATCACGGGACTGATTAAATCTTTACCGCCTTCTATTAAATATAATTGTATAAATAGCTATTTGGAGCCCTGCTACATAAATTGATGCCATTGCAGTTGCATCCACCATATCATA